GCCTCTCCCCTCTGGCTTTTTACACTGCATAGTTAGTGTTCAGAGTGTGATGTTAAAACATAGCCTGATACATGGGGGCTTAGACAGATCACGCTTTGTGTGCCTCTCTATTATCAGTGACTGCCAGTCTGTTCTGTCCTATATGAACTCTCATGTTGGGGCAAGTCTTGAGGGGGAAAAAGAAGAAGCTCTGTCTGGCAAACCACGAGGAGCTACAAAGTGAGCTCAACAATCACTCTCTTTGAGAATCCCACTCGAGCACCGCCTGATCAGCACAGTCAAAGATTTTGTTTTGGGTGCCTTTGGAATCTTTGCCTCCTTAACGAAACACAGAGTTTAGTATGTGTTTCAAAAGCGTTACTTCTTATACAGAAACTGCTCTTTTTGCATGCAGCCACAGACAAACGCTTTGAAAATACTTTGCATGACACAATTTGAAGAAAGCCACCTACCTGTGACACTATCCGTCAGTACCTGTACTTCTGCATTGTATACAAGAACAGTCAGCTGCTATTTTCCAAGTAGCTTCTGCGAAAATAAGTCACACAGGCAGCAGCCACAATGCCACACCTCAAATGACATATGGTTCAGTGTGTCAGGTGAGAGTCACAAAATGCTTCAGATATTCAGACAAATTGAAATCATCCTAATTCAATCAAAAGAAACCATCTTTAATCACCAACTCAATATAGCATGCGTCTGCCAATTGAACTTGAAAAACTGTTGTAACGCAAGTGATGAGTTAAATGAATATCAATCAATCATAATTATCATCAATCATCTTTGAATTATTTATTTAGTCAATGTTTCAGTGACTTTTAAGACAGTTGGGGAACTTTTGTATAAGGCCAATAGTTTATTAATATATTATAGTTTTATAAAGTTCAGCATTGGAAAGAAAGTAAGTTGGATAGCCTTTCATTTAGGTTCAATTTACAGATACTTTACTCAAGTCAGCTGTTACTTTTCAGTTTGAGATTTTACCCATAAACACACACAGCTATAACATTGTTAAAGGTGGTTCCAGGGAACCAGCAGTTCCCAAACGTTTTGGCTCATGTACATTATACAGTTCAATTGTTAAAATAAAGGTTAAAAGGCATGTTTGTTTGTTTGTTTTACAGGGAAATAACGTGTCTTCTTCTGTGATCTCCTTCCTGGAGTGGACTGTCTACAGCGGATGATGTACCGTTTGCTGTTGCTACGGCAACTGTACACAAGTATGGCGGAACAGCAGCGAGCACAGAAGGACTTCAACAACATTAACTTTTATCCACAGCTTTAGCAAGCTGAACTATGTTTGTAGGTTATGTCAGGAAGGCTAATTATGCGTGGAACTCGTCTGCCTAACGCTACGTGTCGGTTGTGACGTTGTTTTTACGCTATTTGACTAACTTATACCTGGAATTACGTTGACGCACATTTAATCGTAATTAGCTGCGTGAGTGGCACACCTGCACCATGCGAGAAGAACCAGAGACAAGGGAAACATCGCGACTTGATCCGTCTGTGGATAGTCACAGACTTGCATCAGGAAAGTCACAGGTATGAACACCTGCTGCTAAGAATACTGAACTAACCTACGACTAACTGACTTTACGTTTTTAAACCATCTCTGTCTTGTTTATTAGGACATTTCTCATGTGTTAGCAAGCACCTTTAAGCACCTATACACAAGAGACATCATTGGGAAAGACACTTTGTCCAACCTCATGAAGACAAAGAATGGACGAAGCAGCTACCATGACAGATATGTTGAGGAGCTCCAACAGGTGACCTGACAACACAGTGTATCTAACACTGAAACAAACTGCTCTGCATGCTTCTTAATTTAAAGTCAACAGAGGAAATCGTACAGTATTTCATGAAATATGTCATTTATTTTCAATCACACAGGCTCATTCTGAATACAGCCGGAGTATGAAAGAGGCTGACATGCTGGAGAGTCATATAATTCAGGCCAGAGCTCGGGCTGCGGCCAAAGAAAGCCGGGCCTATGAGAGACTGAAAGAGGAGATGGGAGATGTTTGTGATCACCAGGGCATCCTCACAGGTGTGATGGAAACATTGTCATGATATTATGTTATACTGTTGTAAAAATACATCTATGTATTTACTTTGAATATACCAACAGGGATGTTATTTGATGTTATTTCTTATGTCTATTCTCAGTCCAATCAGCCTTTTCCTGGTGTGTAGACGATGATCTTCTCAAAATGAACAACCTGATTTCCCCCCAGGACTACTTATCGACACAAAAACCCCGAGTGAGACCACCAGCACCAAGTACATGACCCTATTTTGGATTCATCTTAAATTATTCATAGCCAATGTGTTGTTTTTTTCCCTCAATATTTAACTTATTCCTTTCCTGTCAGTAAAATCGAATCCTGCCAAACCTACCATCGCCTACACCATGCACATCTCCAGGGAGCCTCAGAATGACGGTTATACTCTAATGCCCAGCCCAGAAAAGAATGAGTCAGATCGCAGCCTGACTCTCGAATCCAGCTCAGATACCCCAAAGAGGAAGAAAACTCCCAGGAAGGTGAGGAGTCACAAGCCTACACCCTTTTGATTACAAGAATAGAAGGCCTACATTTGAATGAACAGATAATCAACTGAAACAGTAGACTAATTGAATAAAAGAAGACAACATGGACATAAAAAGAGCATTATTAAAAGGCGTTCCTCTGAGTTTTGAAACTGAAACTGAAAACATCAGTGTTCTACTACTATGTTTCAGAGGCCCGACGAGACCAAACCCAGACCAAAGTGGAAGGGTGAGCCAAGCGCAAAGGATCGAGCAGAGGGACGGGTAAAACTTCAGAAGCTGAAAGATTCCCACAACTTCCTACGCAATCCTCGCTTCCTTCCTCCCAATGCACAGCCGGGTGGCACATCCCTCGTCTGTCCCAGAACAAAAGTGGGGAAGATGGAGCGTGCAAGGAAAGGGATGGAGAAGCAAAGGTACTCGGAGTGTGCCGAGCAGAAGGGCACTTGTCACAGTAAATGCTCATCTTTTTTGCCTTTAAAATTGTTGTGGTTGCTGCATATTGTGGGTGTAAATGTCTTGTGCCAAGCTTGCAGTTACGCATTACATACGCCTTATCACAGTAGAAACCCTAGGCTGTATCCATACATCTTCAACTTCACAATTCCCAAAATGATTCCTGTGTAATCAAATCAATCTAGCACAACCCCCCTTTTACCCAGGGAACCAGAGTTGCTTTCCCACCAACTGTGCGGGAAAAAAAAGGCATTACATTTGCAGATGGACTGATTCTTAGCAGCCTATCTGAAGGTGAAACAAGACACAACCTGCAATGAGAGCCAAGTATGCATTAGAGGAGACATGCTGACTTATATTCTGCCTGTGGATACAAACACTGTTGGCCACAATTAACAATGGGAGGATATACATGCAGTACACTTTCTGACTACTGTTGGGTTAGCAAGATCTACCACGTGCATGTGGTAAGTGTAGTAACGGGACGTCAGGTTCATGTGCATGATTCTATATGTCTTTATGCTTAATATGCTTAAGATGCAGTCATTACAAAGGTTAGCTAAGGGGTTGGGATTTAACAAGAAGCCTTTCCCACTTCCGTTATATTAGTGCAGCGCCGGCTTTGATCCACCCTACAAAGCAAAAGACAAGTTTCTTCTTTGGCATATATAGAAAGTCAAAATCAGAAATGCTTGCTTTGTGGTTTTGACGTAGATTTCAGTGCTGGCGGAGCTCGTTAACCCAGCTCACCACTTCCTGTGAGAGAGTCTTTGTTGAGAACAGACAGAATAATCAGGTGTTGTTTTTGTGCTCATCCTCCCTGAAAGCTCAACTGAAAATCCTGTCCCAGCCTTTCTAGCAAAACCTTCAGAGGTGGTTTTCACTGACTACAGTGTGGGACGTGTTTATGAGGTACGTCTGAGTAACTTACACGGAACAATTACAATTTCACACAGAACTACCAACTGTTTTTCAATGAGATAATGCCCTTTCCCGTTCTAGACTACCCTAGAGCTGAAAAACTTGACTTCTGCGAGCCGCACTGTCCGAGTCATCCCTCCTACCACTCCTTACTTTTCTATTGGCCTGGGTGAGCCTTTTTGTTGTGATTGGATTACACAGCTTCCTCATTCCTGTTCTTGTTGATAGTGAGGACATCATGACTGTATCAAAAAGGCATGCAGGAGTTTTGTCGAATATAGTCATACATCTCTGGAATGCTAACAGGTGATTTCCTGTTTTAATGTTGCAATCCCGTAAGTGAACACCAGCACCGACTACTGTATCAAACGCTATAAGAAGATAAATAGCACACAAGTGAATTTAGAAACTTATAGTGCAATGTAGGAAGGGAATGATATTAAGATGTGTTTTGGCAGGGAGATTCCCTGGTGAGGGTGGTGTTGTTGCCCCAGGGATGAGTTGTAAGTACACAGTGCGCTTCGCTCCAGACTCCTTGGGGGACTATGAGGACTACATAACGGTGGAGACCCTTGCTGGACACCGATTTTGGGTGCCCATCGCAGCCAGAAGACCCCCTCCAATACTCACACGTGAGTCTCATAAGAATCTACCAACCTACCGTTGTTGTTGCAATGCTCATGAGTGTACTTTAATCGGTCATGCATTATTGATATTTCCCCCTAATTATTGTGCAGTACCAAGAGTTCTGGACTGTGGTTGTTGTCTGATCGGAGGGGTCAAATCTGTTGAGTTCTTGTGCAAAAATATAAGCTTCAGCGCCGGGACCTTTTGCATCATCCCCAAGAACCAGTGGCCAGCCTCGAACCTCAGGGTAAAAATGAATCTGACACATTATCTAAGATACAGGAACTGTTTTACATCCAATATTTATAAAAAGTTTTTTTCTTTTTCTTTATATAGTCTGTGACAAGAACGTACTTTTCTGAGCAGCCACCCTTTGCAGTCAGCCCGTCTCTTTTTGCGCTGCAGCCAGGAGAGGCCACTGTAGTG